AAGAAGAAGAAGAAGAAGAAGAAGAAGAAGAAGAAGAAGAAGAAGAAGAAGAAGAAGAAGAAGAAGAAGAAGAAGAAGAAGAAATTGTAATGGCCCCAAGATGTGGCTGAGTGGCAGTGAGAGGCCCTGGCTTTGACCCTGCACCCTCCACAGCCCTACTGTGCCAACTGCACTACGGCAAATGCAAGCATTACACCTCTGTGTGTAGCTGTACAGGGCTAAGAACCTTACAGTATCCAAGTTCCATCTCTCCCACAGCCCTCAAATGATTTTTGTTATGTATTTGCTTAAGCATATAGCAAATCCACATTGAATTCTTGTCACTTTTGTTTAAGGGTCAATTGTCTTTTAGAGGAAGTTAAAGAAGTTTATTTTCTGATTCCTGTCTTTGGTGCTTATGTCATAGGGTCTGTTGGTTTATAACATTCACCAGAATTCGTTTCCAGTTTTGACTGTATGTACATGTCACGCACTGCTTGCCCAACATTGCAGCCTCATGGACTTCTTCATACCTATCAGTGATACAATTGAGAGTATTTCATCAATATTATTGCTACAAAAGGACAAATTACAATGCCTTATATGATCCTCCTTGTTCTTTTTAATAAAATACTATCTGTGAGCTACAATCTCAACTTTTATCCTAACAAAAGTTCATGACTTTGCTTTTCAATTCAAGAAAACTGCTGCATTATGAAGAAGCACATATACTCTTCATTTCTGATGAGGACAAAACCTGCAGAACATGCATCTTCCTCTCCAGAGTACCTGCTCCTTGGTCACTGGGTAGCTGTCTTGCCATCAGTCATGGTCACGGTATCACAGTGCCTAGGTTTTGAGTAACTGTGATTCTACCTAATACCACCAAAGCAGTGACATTTATTACAATATACTGCTATTATCATTACTTATCTCATTAATCTGCTCTGTCTGGTTTATGTGCTGAACTTTACCAGATGCATGTATCAGGGAAAAGTGATACAGGGTTGGTGGCTGCCTGCTGTTTCAGGTTTCCATAGGGATCTTGGGATGTAACCCCAAGTACAAAAGATGACTAAATTCAAATGTAGGGCTTTATACCAAATTCCAGCTTTATTCCTTTCTGTATCCCCCTGTCCCTACTGCACTCCTGGAAGACTTCAGATTTTTAAAGTATTACTTCTCTGGATTTGAATTCCATCCCCAAAGTATGGTCCAGAAACAAGTCCGTTTCCTCTCCTTAGCAACCTCCTCCCCACACCACAGCACTCACACCACTGAAGGGCTACAGAGGCCCTGAGTGTAAAACCTTATCTCCATCCCAGCAGGCAGGGAGGGACTAGCAGGGTGGGGGCACCAAACATCGTGGAGCCCAGGTGGTGGCCCCCACTCTACCCAGCTCCTTCCCAGTGTCCCCCAGGCTTTCTCTGGCAGAAGCAGCACCTAGTCTGGTGAGGACCAATAGTCCAGCCACCTGGGCCAGTTTTAGGAGTTCAACTTGAACAGTGGGTTTTTTTTAATGTGCTTTTTATATACTATCAACAAACCTCTACATATGGAGATATTTCTACATAAAGTTTTAATCTACAAAAAGCACATTCTACTTGGAAAGTAGACACAAGTTTCACTAAAAACTCCCTAGTCTTTTTAAATTTCTTTATGCATTTGATACAAGGTCTCACTACGCAGCTTGGACTTGTAGTGATCCTGTTTTCAGCCTCCCCAGCACTTGGGATTACAGGCATGTGCCACCACACCTGGTCTCAGTGCCCGGCTGAGCGCACTGGGGGCAGGGTTGGACTGACACCACATATGCCCTATATACTCTTAATTCTAGATCTTTTCTCAAGAAAGCAAAAGAAAACTACTTCATGTCTTAGAAATGTTAGCTAGAGTCTAAAAAATCCACGGCTGGACTACGTGGTCACAGCAATGCCAACCTGGAAGAATGCACATTCCTAGGCTTTGAAGTTCCAGAGCCCCTCTGCCATTCCCAATTTAACCTCTAATGTCCACATCACCTCAGGTGGTCAGTACCACTCCATCCTGGCATTAGTGAGTTCCAACGGCCTGTTTACTGTTTTCAGAAAGCAGACTAGTAAGCTGGCAATGGGATCAACATGAAGGATCCTGCCAGTAGACGGGAAAGCTACCCCAAGCCAGCAGAACTGCAGATCCTTCCTACTGCTGGAAACAAGCCATGGGATAGTTAGGAATTCCAGCTTGTCTGGGTTGCTATAGCAACTATGCCTTCTGCTGATAAACAGTAACTTTGTATCAACTCATTCTGCACTTTCACTGGCACCCGGTGGGCACTCTGTATTAATCTTTATGGCATCTGAATGTTTACTTCCTGTCATTATCCACATCCATCCACGAGTCTATGTTATCTAAACCTCCTGAAAATCATTTATCATTTCCATTTCTGTGGCTATTAGCACTAAGCATATTCAAATTTCAATTCCAGTTCTGTAAGATTAAACATAAACATTAAGCTTCCCAACAGATCAAAATGCTTAATTATGAGAAAGCTATAACAAACAGCAAAGAATAAACTCACCACAATCAGATTTTGAATATTGCCTTTATTTTGCAGAAAATACTTTCTGCCGATTGTCTTTGGCTATTTTGTCAAAAAAAAAAAAAAAAAAAAAAAAAAAAAAAGCACACAAATAAAAATAAACCAATTGGTTTCACAATACAAAAGATCAGCTGAATATGCTTAAAATAAACCTGTTCTAGTGGGCAGGGCTCAAATCACCAGCTCAACTAAAATCTGTTTTCCCTATGACGTTACTCGGTTCTTAACAGCTCAATTCTAACTACTCTTAAGCAACAGGGGGAATTAAAAGTGTGCTTTCTGTCTTACTAAAGGAGGACCAGTGGAGATTACAACTTCTGGTGTGCCAAAAGCATCTACACCCTGCATGAGGAGCTCTGGAACCTTGGCACACACTTTTTGTCTATGAATCTTGGGAATAGGGCCAACTGTTTCCATACACAGATTCTTGGACGCTGGGCTGCTGGGACTCAGAAAATAGCCAAGCATGTACTACTCTTACTTTAACATGAAGTCAACCAGGCTTTATCTCCTGGTTTCATTCCCTGGACCCATGAGCCTTCCATCTGTGCCTTAGAGGTATGGCACATCAACACTGGTCACCACAAAGGAAAAGTCCTTGCATCTCGAGACAAGGGCTCGGTCACATGGAAGGCGGTGACACAGGCGTCCATGAGGCTATGAGGCGGCCTTGGGCCGCAGCATCGTACTGGCTGTCAGGAATGTCTGTGACAGTGGCCGCCCCTTCATACAAGGGAGAGCTTGAGGACGAGGCCGCTGGGACTGCATGAGAGAGGGATGCATAGTGCGCAGGGGATCCTCGGAAGAACTGGGGCCCCAGCCCGTTGGACACCCCGGCTGCCTGGGAGCCAGGGGTGATGGTGCCATTGCTCACAGACCACAGGCTGGGGTACTGGCTGGAAGAGAAAACAGCAGTCAGGGCAAAGGCAGTGCTCCGAATCTGCTCTTCATGACTGCATTACCACATCATACACCTTCTGAGAGAAATTATACTGCTTGGAGAAGTTGGGACAATGTCCATCACAGAACTAGCACACAGTACAATAAATAAGAGGCTCTGGTTTTTTATGGCAGAAAAAGCCAAATCCCCTCCACACCTCACGGCAAGCTCAAGGGATAGCTTTCAAGCAGGAACTCAGCAGTGATGGAGCCAGGTGCCCCCGCATATAACCAGCAGATGGTAGAACTATAAGCAAAAACCCAAGCAAGAGGTCGTGGTGCACAGCTGGGAGGCTGAGGCTGAGGAACTGCAATTTCACGCACAGCCTGGGCCACTTAGCAACTTAGTGTCACCAGTCCCAAAATAAAAAAAATTTAAAAAGGGTTAAGGGATGTGGCTTAGTGCAAAGACCCAGAGTTCCATCCCCAGTACTGAAACAAACAAATCCATCCAACCACCCAAAGTACAAAGCAGAACAAAGAGTGGGCTGGGGAGATAGCTCAGTAGAATAAGTGCTTGCCTGGCAAGTTAAAGGTCATGAGTTCAATCCCCAGTACTGCCAAAAAAAAAAAAAAAAGAAAGAAAGAAAGAAAGCAGAACAAAGAAAAAAGGCAGCAGGGACAGAACCAGCATCCAGCCACGAAGGGAGCACCTCCCTTCGCATACATACACACCTCGAGCCAGTGGAAGGGCTAGCGCTGTGACCCATGGGAAGCATGCTGGAGTGGCTGGGTACCCCGAGACTGGACCAGTTGTCATGAGATTGCAGCACAGGCAGGCATGAAGACGAACTGTCTGAGTAGGCTGAGGAGTGTTATGGCACTGTTACTAGGTGGGTCTTCCAAGAGCAACATAATACACTGAAATGCTACCTTCACTGAAACAGCCAACACCGAAAACAAATGGTGCATGGATATTAAACATAGAAAACAGCCTTTCAGCCTGCTTCACCGGTCATCAATGAACATGATTACTACCAAATGTATTTATTTGAAAATATAATCCCATAAACCCGAGCTTTTTCCTTTATCAGCATGTCAGTAGATACTGCATAGAAAATGAATTCTAGTCACTTATTTGAGGATGAAGACTTCTGTATCTTGCTTTTTTTCCATGCTGGAAACCCAAGCCCTTATAAGTGAGCCACATCCACTGCCCAAATTATTTACCTTTATAAACATAAATAAATGTCATTTTAATCCACCTTGTCTCCAAGGATTATTTCATAAAAGTTAAATGGGCTATGGAAACGATTACTCCAGGCAAATTAAAAATATGATCTTCCAGCCTCAGAGTCTAGCTCCTGGCTCAACAAGTCCCGAGGGCTATTTCCTTTCATTTCAAATCAGCTGTAATTGCTTAATTGTTTTATGGCGTTCCTTAGCTATTTTCCTCTTTTTGGGGAAGACAAAAGTAGTCTGGGAACAGACTGTCCGAGAAAAAAATTAGGCCTGGGGGCTTCCCAGGCTGCCCAGGGCTCAGGACGTGGCAGGAGGCATCAGACCACCTGGAGAGTTGTCACCACCTGGCTTCTGAGCTGGCATCTGTATGGAGCAGAAGGAGACCAGCCGGCTCTCAGTGACACTGGTGCCCCTGCTCCAAAGTCACTACCTCTGAGGTGGGTACAAAGTACCCAGGCCTGGTCTCCACTCTGGACACTGACCTAGTCTTTAGGGATAACCACAGGTCTGTCACTTGGAAAATGTGAGGCATCACTCAGAGGCACCATGGACCCAACAAGCCCCACTCAGACCTCTGAGGTGGACCCAGCAGGGGTGTGAACAGGAGACACACATCTAGCTGGGGCCATAGAACTATTTTCCAGAAGGGGGTCTTCCTTTCTTCTTCTGGACCCCTACAGAATGCCTTTGGGGAGGGGGCTTCCAGCCACCCACCAGGCCCAGAGGACTTAAGCTTTGACCTACTTGGAGAGTTGTTCCGGTGAGTGTAGGGGTTAGGGTAGGGCGCTGCTCGGTGGCTCCTCAGGGTAGGGTACCTTTCACAGCCGTGAGTGGAGGGCAGAGAGAGCGCTCCTCCAAACTGAGGATGGGGGCTGGTGGGTGGGCACAGCGAGCCGGTTCCAGGAATCAGCCAGCCCCCTGCTGTGAGGAGAGAATGTTGAGTGACTGGTATTGGTTTTGCCTCTATGTTCCAAGGAAGTACACCCAGAAGAGTATTTTCCTTAGTTCTTGGGGGAAGCTAGCAATCTTAACTGTCTTTAACACTCAATGCCTAGTCTACAGCCCTGGGTGGTCCTCCTCCTCTCTTCCTCCTCCTCCATTTTGCTGCCCACTCAGGCTCCTGCTCTGTGGGCCCATTAGAACATTTCCTGCTTCCTATACTGTTTCAGATTCCCAAGGCCTCTCCACGTTCTTCTCTCCTATGCATGAGAAAGTTACTAGGGGGGCCAGGGAGATGGCTCAGTAGAAAAAGTGCTTGCCTGGCAAGTGCAAGGGCCTGAGTTCAATCCCTGGTTCCGAGAGGAAAAAAAAAAAAAGTTACTAGGAAGTCCCACCCTCTTCTAAAATTCAGATTTCTTTGTTCTTTTTAGAATTGTGCTTAAGGGCTTAGTGTATTAAAATGCCTGCTTAGGCACAAGGAGCATCCAGGGACCAGGGCTAATCCCCAGCGTGCCATGCCAGCCCTGCTCACGTAGCACACTGAGATGGTGACTGAGACTGGACTAGGTGGCACGTGCCTATAATCCCAGTGCTTGAGAGGCTGAAAACAGGAGGATCACTACAAGTCTGGTCTGTGTAATGAGACCCTATAGACCCAGTACTAAATA